ACAGATAAAAAAAAAAAAAAATTGGTCTTTGAGGGCAGGTGTAACACGTAGTCTTCAAAACCAGTAGACTTTGATAGATTAATTAAATTAAATTAAATAAATTATCTAAACCTCTTTTACCATGTCTTGCCATAATGAACACCACAGATTCACAATGCATGGATAAGGAATTTTGTTTGTTCTAAATCTTCTTCCAAACAGCTTCACTAGATGACCCTCGGCCCCAGTTCTTCAGACTATGCATGATTTTACACACCTTAGTCATATCCCCCTTCCATCACCTTTTTTCTAAGCTGAAGAGTCCCAAACATGCCAGCCTATCTCATAGGGAAGGTGTTCAACTCCCTGATCAAGCTTTGCCTAACCAAATGTTGGTTAGGGAAGTTGTACAAATACAGACTTAGGCTCTAAATTTAATGGTTTTGCCACGTGTGTGAAATTTGTGGTCTTATTCACCTCTTTTGATTTGATTTCATCATGTTATATAGCGGTTAGTCAACTACAAGTGGAGCCCCTCTTGTAAGTGGGACTGCAAACTTCCGTTCCAGAGTCTTATTCTGATAGCGCCAAGTGACTGAGCTTCGAGCAAGAAGAACAATCCACGAATTGCATAGCTCCCTTTGGCAAAACCAAGAGTTTACAAATTGCTATGCCTACAGAGCTGACGTCCCATTCATTTTTAAGTCTGTGCCAGTTTAGGCAGGGTATAAGTGAATGCATTCTCCAGGGTGTCATCTCCTCCTCCAATTTTTTTTAAAAGCATCACCTGAGACGAGAGATCTAATTTTCGGGGGGGCGGGGGAGAGGACTTTTTGCATGCTGGGTCATGACTCGTTTGCCTAGAGATGGGAAATTCTATAGGTACGGACTTCTTCTTGGGAAGAAACATGCCGCCACGAGACCAGAGGCTCAGCTTCACAGCATGTGAGCCCAAGAGCAAATTCCCAAACACTTGCAGGATTTCAGAGGTGCAATTCGTGAGCTGAAAATAGATCAAAGCCTTACTTTGAACTCTCCAAAATAACAACAATGAAAAACCCTATGGCATTCCTGGGAGCATGTGGGTGTGTGCCAGGATCATGAAGTGCCTCTCTGACTTGTCTTAATGAGCCACGCTGGATTTCAACCGAGCACAGAGGATTGGCAGCGGTTACAGGGGGTTGACTTTCTGATAGATCTGATGGCCAGCGGGATTTTTTTCAGCCCAAATATTTTAGCCCTAATAGCGGGGTGCTGTTTTCTTCCTCTAACAATTTGTTTCTTTGACATTTTGCTCTCGGGACTGCTTCCCATCTTTAAAAATTATGGAGGACCCCAAAAGAGCTTTTGTTTGTATGGGTTGTGTTTATCAATATTTACCCTATTAAAAATTAAAATGGGTGCATCTGTAAAATACTTATTTATTGAATCATGCAAAAAGAGCAATGTGAAACCCATTGGACATTAAAATAAATACAACCTTTTTCATGGGGAAAAAAACCTGTATTTTGATAACGAATAAAACATAATAATGAGAAGGGTGACATTGTTTTAAATGTTTGCCAGTATCTTCGGTATCTGGCAAACAATTTTGATTTCGCGGACCCAAGAGGGTCTTGGACCACCCTTTAAAAAACACTGCTTTGAGATGGCCACTTAGAAGAGAAGGTGTTTTTATTATTATTTAGCCAGTTATTCAATTTATAGAGCTGCCCATCTGATTTTTACATGACTCTGGGCAGCTTACAATAACACCACATACACCCTTAGAATAAATAAAAATAAAATAAAATACAAATAGACCGCTGACAATACAACAAAAACCACCAAATACACCTTATAGAATAAATAAAAATAAAATACAAATAGGCAGCTTACAACAGAACAAAAACCACCAAATACACTGTACAGAGTAAATAAGCACAGAATTGCTGTCTGCAGAATGAAAGGAATAAAAACGAAATAAGAAAGGTAGTATCGAATAGTATAGCAACATACAAAATAAGAAAAACAAATAACATAAAACACAGAATTACGACTCCCGCCCTTCTTGCTATGGAGCGGCTGCCCTCTTGCAAGGCCTGGATGGGCTGATCCGGGGGAGAAGAACCCCTCCCGGCCCCCACCGTGGCTGAAAAGGATGCTGGGAGCCCACGTTGCCCTTGGGCAGCGCCTGCCTTCCCCGAGGGCCGCCCTCCCTCCGTCCCTTCCAGCCCAGCAGCTCGGAGGCCCGAGCTGGGCACGCCCGTTAAGCAGCTCCAGCCCAGCCGGGCGGAATCCCGCCTCCATCTTGGGCCTGCTCAAGGAGCGCCTCAATTACGAAACTGAAACTGAAACTAAATCCCGTCCTGTTCCTTCCCCTTCCCCAGACATGTCGCCGCCCAAGACATCCCCGCGGGCGCCGGGTTGGCCGGGCACGGCTCGCCCCGCCCACCCCTCTTCCT